TACACTATTTAAAGAAAGCATTGAGAAACGTGAGGAGAGGGCTAAAGCAAGAATGGAAGAGAGAAGAACTTTGCTACAACAAATACAACCAACTCAAAATGACCCCCTATTTAATTTTTTTATGGCAATGTACCAGTCTACCAAACGAATGCCACCCTCATATCAACACATGGTTAAAAATCGTTTGTTCAACGAAGTGTCACAAGCGGAAGCCATGTTACTGGGCATTAGTTCTCCTGTCCACCAGCAGCACAGCCTTGATCAGCAGCAGCCCTACTACCATACTCTACATTCTGTTCCTGCAGCCACCCCATCTAGCAGCAGAGCATCAACATCAACCAGTTTCTATTCGGAACATTCACTCTTAAGCTCATTTGATATTCATAGGGAACAGAACGACTGCCCTACGGGTAACACTGGAGACGAACTGATTAATCACTAATTTTACAGAGAAATAAATTGAATACGAATAAAATAACTTACCTTAGAAAAACAGCTAGTTTCTCTTCCGTCCCGATGGGCCTTGTAGCGTTACATCCTTCTGCGTAAATTTCTTTCTTGATGATCTCATGCACTTCACTAAACTGATCACGGTTTAGTCGAAAATAATTTTTAAACTGTGCATCGTTAAATTCTTTGGTTAGAGCGAATTCTCCGTGAGTTTTCCTTTTTTTTATGTATGAACTTCTCGCTGCCTTTTTATTACTCGTTTTTAAGGTCATCGATACAACATCGGACATGAACTCATCTTCCGAATCAGATTCAGAACTAAACTCAAACGTAAGGGCGGAAGCTATTTCCATCTTGTTAAACCAACTGGGTTCTTGAAAGCGCAAGCAGGTTATTACAACTGCGGTATTATTTGCGCGGCTTTCGCGCTGGCAGTTACCCCCTTTCCAAATCTCACCGTGACTCACGCTGCGTCACCTCACCAAGCTGCGCTTCATTTTGCGCCCGGCCTTAGAAAGCGTCGAAATTGTTTCGCGAGTCCGTTTAGCGCGCAACTTTTTCCAGGATACACTTGGAATTTTTAGGGGCGACATGAATAACTCAACATTTTTCAATAGTACGGTGTGGTAAATATAATATTTAGGTTTCTGACTGTTCTTTTAAGATAATTCCGCGACCTCTATATGATCGTAAAGTTTTCATCCTTTTGGAGGTTTATTTGAGAGCGAGTTGGGAATATCAGGCTTTAAGTAATCAGATTGAAGTAAAGTACGTAATAAAATATGTGCAATAAAAAGTTTTTAACTAGACGCACTCTTGGTCTAAATTTAAATTTAGTACTTCATTTAGATTAATAACTGATCGAAATACATGACCTTTTATCGTCCAATAAAAATCCTTTGATTGGGTTACCTTATGATATTAACATAATTCACATTACCTACTGAAAAATTCCGACCTAGTTTTCGATCACTATCTCCTGAATTTTTCTTCTTACTGGAAAACTTCACAGGACACGCTTCGATCGTCGTATTGCCCGATAACCGGCTAACTTTTTAAAAGTAGGTAAAAAGAAAGGAGTCGGTTCTCCGAGGACTAGCTCAAAAAATTAGTTGGTTTCTATCTTTAAAAACTTATCCAATGCTGTGTTCCCTATCTCTCGCCGTCTCCTTCCTGGTCGAACTTTCCTTCCATACTATGTTTTAACTAGCAAACTAGAGTGAACTTATAATGAGCAAACACACCAACTTCTTAATGGTGACACAATCTAGTCCGCATTTTTGTAGCCGATATTTTATTTTTTCTCTTTTACAAGATGTTTATTAGGGAAAATTTCGAAACTATGTCGATCTGCATACTGTACAAGCTTAATTTACTAATTAATTTGAGAAACGAAATACATTCTGTTCATTACTGTATATTAAAGAACTTGATGAATAGGTGTGTAGTTTTCATCAAACCAAACGCTCATTTTACATGACTATTCATTGTAAGTAGGAAGATTTTCAGTCCAATTAGTGGTTTGTTTATCACGGCTGATTACGTTTTCCATTTGCAAAATTGCAATTTATTCGTTTCCCCTCTGTAACTGAGTCGATGCGCTCGCCTGGGAAAAGGCATCGGTTTATAATTATGTCTGTCATCTCATTAATTGCAAACGGTAAAAAAGAGCGTATTTATTAGAGTAGTAGATATTTACAAGCAAAATCGCTTTAATATCAAACAAGTCCGTGCATGTGCACTAAAATAAAAGTATAATAAGCGTATAAGTATTTTCCTAATACTGGCATTGAAAAATATATTTTCATTATAGGTATTTAATACTTTCGATATTTCGAGTTCCTTTTGCCTACAGATGACCAACGAACCATGTAATAAATTCGCGAAAACAAATAAAATATCGTAAAGCGACGATACTCAATATATCAGAAAGAAGTATTCGAGCGCGGCCCAAAAAGGTTGTTAGTTCCTCAAGGGAGACCGACGTAATCACGGTATCTTTCAATTCAATCTTTTTGAATCCTTTGAGTAATATGTTAGCGAGTATAATGCCGAGCAAGGGTGTATTTAAATTTGAGTTACGGGCATATTTATGCCTGTGTTCTATTTTGATCATTAAGGCGGAATAAACGAAGGAGTTTGCTATCAATTCGATACATCTACCAGTGTTATTTACGTTCGCGTTTTAGTTGTGGAAATATAATTCTGTGGTCGGTCATGTTATTCGACAATTTGTACTATGCTCATTCTTTAACACTTTTTTATTTCATAAACGTGTAATTTTCTCAGAAAAATATATGTGGAATAATTCAATCTAATGGTTCATGAAATATTTATTATACTTATTTAATTTAAATTAGATAATATTGCATATTTTTGTCCACAATAATCAATTCTTTATTATTCAATTATATCAATAATTGTAATTTTCGCACAGTGATGTGGCAGAAATTTAATTAATATTTATTTACTTATATGTTTTTATTGTTGGAAAAATAACTGGTGATTTAATTACAACCTTTGCCAGTAGCCAATATAATTCGTTATGATTTAACCAACTCTTCAATTATTATTGCACATAATCCTTTGAAATAGAATTGCTCCATTTAAAAGTCTACATGATTGTTACTTGAATCGATTTAACATTTAATATTCTCTTTTCCGACAATTCGTAAACCCTCTAAGTGATCCTTTTACCGGATATTTAAAGATGAAAAATAGGTAGGTACATATAATCGAATTGATTGTAGTTTCGCTTTACTTTTTAAACGAAAATAAATATTTGATGATTATCTACCATCATCAGTGACAGTTCATTACACGAGTTCGATAGAGATGCCTCAGGCTCGGGAACCCCGTCTATTTTATTATTCCTTTTTGTCTAAGTAACAGCGTTAAGTGTGAATTCCTCTTTTGTCTCAAAGACGAAAATTTAAATTGGCTTCTCTGTTACTTCTTGATTATTCCAAAGGAGTTCCTTTTCTTATTCACCAATTTTATTACAACTACGTGCACTATCAGAACTTCTGACGTTGAACTTTTGTTAAAAGCATAGCGCCATTAAAGAGAATGATAAGTAGTCATTCGTCGCTTTATGAGTTTTCTTTTATAATGGAATCAAAATACGAGGGGACGACCTCTTTTTTATCGACAAAAAATTTGTAAGGAATTATATTTATACGAGTGGCTGTAAATCAACTGTTAAAGCATTCACGGCCATTTCGATAACAAATAAATCATCATTAGTATTGATTTAAATGTGAATAGAACAAACTCACTATACAATTTATCATGTATGTAATTTTGTAATCCATCTTTAAATAGATTGATTCACCTACCTACATATGCTGAAGTTGTAGATATTGCGCAACAATTAATTTCTAGTCATTTGGATAAAACCATTGTAGTATTTTTTTATTTCCTTCCAGGAACTGTTGGAAAAATAAACTTCATGAGTTGAAACCTCAATTACACTTACACAGCACCGCATTTGATTTCAATAAATATTAAAGGAATTTCTCGCCCCGTGGAAATTGTTTCAACCCGCCGATCCTGAAAAGGTAAGCGAATACACATACGTTAATTTCACGTTAATAATTAAACGAGGACTTCAATTATGCGGTAAATTGACATTTCTATCTAGCTGCTCTCCAGGTGGTAAATTAATTAACTCCGTAATAAATATTTTAATATAATATTTGAACTGCTTTTATTTCATTCGAAAGTTAGTTTACTAATTGACGTATTGTTTTGAATTTCAGCAAAAACAAAAATTAATCATAAATTATTGAAAATAGATTATTTTGTAACAAGAGAAATTTGTAACGATTAATGAATGCGTACTCTCGTAAATCAATTGGAAATTCAACGTTCGAGGGAACTCGTGGGTGCATAATATATAATTATTAGGTAGGTATATCCATATTAGGTAGGTATGTTAACATCGGGAAAGTTCACAGAGTTTATAAGCATCCATCCATCCCTTCCATTCGCAAGGGAACAACAATTTTTCTATTTTTGTTGTAATGAACGTAAAGTGCTCGACCGGATCTGTAAATCGATATTCAACTGCCTCCAGGCCATTTCCTATAAAGTTGTCGGGATATTCCATACCTCAATGTATTATGCGGGGTTTTAAGCGTTTTGTAGAAATTAGATACCGACGGCAACTCCATCGTAAACCTTCGGGCGTAATTCGAAATAGCATTAAGGCGATAGTTTTAGTTCCCGTCTGATAATTATTTGTTTTCGGTCCGCTCGTTTTTTTGGTTCCAAAAGTATCGACATAACCATCAATCGCGGCCCACCAAAGACGCCGGAATGATCGTATGTAATTTTGTCAACAATTTTAAATTTTTAATGCGTTAAATTAATGTTACTCCTTTGTAATTTAAGATATATTGCAGTATGAAATTTTATTGGTTAAATTACTTACCTACGTCAAAATAAATCTGTAGGCACCTACTAATAAAAAGAGGAGAGAAAAAATACTTTAAAAGTTTATTGCTAGATATTTAATCATTTTCATTGAAATTGATTTATAAAATATTTTACACAAGTTATCTACACTGTACAAGAAGTTCGTTTTTCTATTAACAAATCATATTTTATAATAAATTAATTACAAACATTTACAAAGATAATAAACTATACATATTATGTAGCACCAATTAGTCTACAAATTTAATATAAAATCAAATAACACATATACTTTATATTTATAAAAAATTAGCAAAAAAAGGATATCAATACATGGTGAGGCGGATTAACTTTTTAATCGATTACATTTAAGTTTTTTTGCCATTTTTTCAGGATATACATTTTTGATACTATTTAGCGCTACTTTCTACAAGGAAAGATCTTTGGTACATAAATTTGTCCGCAAAATTGAAAGCAATCTGCTTTCAATGTATGAAGACAGGAAAGAATTACAAGATTTAGTAGAAGCCCTCATCATGTATTTGCAAAATCCATAAATATTTTCTATGTTCTAATCAGTAGATTACAATCAAGATGATAATTTTATTCGTCCAATAAATTTATTCAAAAATGGCCCTATTGTTTGCAAATGAATTGCGTTATATAGAATTCAATAACATATTTTCCCCGTAACGAATTGTATTAAATCGCTTTGATAGACACCCAGCTATTTTACCATTCGCGGAGTTAGATAAACACAATTTAATTAAACGCAACCCTTTAAAATGGTAAAATAATAAGCACAGTGTCATTATTATTCAGCGCAAATAACGACCAATCAGTTATGCATTGAATTAAAAATGCGTTATTTGCTGATAAAAATCGTTCATTTAAATTATATAATCGAAAAAAGTTACCTTATCATCTCGATCGCTCTCGTTACTTCAGCATCGATTTGACACCAATCTTAAACATATGAGGAACCCAAATCGTGGAACTAGTCAACAACAAAGGCGAAAACTACGTGTAGTAGCTGAAGAAGGAAAACGGAATACGAAATAGTGCTTAAAATCTACTTGCATCACAGACCATGGCGGCGTATTTTCTCGTCCAAAATCGGCGTTCGTGCCGCGACTATTATTTTTTATAAAAATCTTCCCGATTTTCGGCGAAGCGTTCGAATTTTTAGGCTCAGGAGTTCTTTCAGGTGATAAACAAATTAAACGCATTCTTCGAGAACTTCGATCGATCCGACGCGAAAAATCCGTCACACTTCCGACGTAAAACTCTCCCAATTTTCGTCGGCGAAAGGCCGTCAGGGAATTCGTTAGATTAAAAATGGCCGTAAACATCATCGTCTTAGGCGATGATAAACACTGTTCGCTCGGTTACGGGAAATTTTCTTAGCGTAAAATTTCGTACCCGTTTAGCGGAACAATGTATACAAAATTTACGACCCCCGAACGTTTTTCCTTTGAACTTCGGCAACGAGGAGAGCGCTACGTGTTCGTTGTGTTAAAAGCACAGTCTTGCGTTTTTGAATAAAATGCAGGTATACTTGATAATAAGTTAACCCGAAAGTAACTTTACAAATTTTTGAAAGTTTACTAGTAGGTATTTTGAAAAAAATTGAGCAAATTTAATTATACTGCATCAATTATAAGAGGCGCACAAAAACCCGAATTTAATTTTTTTTCTGAAGGAGCCGCAAAACTGAATAAAAACCGAGACGATTACACATTCTCGGTGCGGAGTGCCTTTCTGATTAGCAGCTTCAAATGCGATATGCTTGATTAAATAACGCTTTGTTTCGCTTTTCCCCTCCATTGATTTCCTCGTTATTTTTTTGTCGTCGTTAACGGAATTGTCTCTCTTTGTCGTTTTCAAGAGACAATAATCGATCGAAAATAAAATGGAACGTTCTACAAGAATTATCTATTATTTACCCAGCATATATACAGGATGGTATGACATTGAAAAAAAATATTGTGAAATTGTTAAAATGACTACTCTATTTCAATATTACGCTAAAAAAAGATAGTCATAATAACGTTGAAGAGTAAACAGCTTGTATATTCTACTATTAAACTTTTTGAATATCACCCTATAGTTTGCGTGTTTGCCTTTCAAATTCTAAACGCTTCACCATCCACCCAACCTACTTACCTATTACAGAATAAACTAACGTAGTTCACAATTAATTTAAACCTCTGGCCGATCGGACTAGCAAAACATGACTCAAAAAAAAACAATTCGTTTTAAACAGTCTCTTTCTTTCTCACCAGTCTTCGCGAAACGATTCGATATAATATTTGAAAAAAATTCCTACAACGCGACCGGCGCACTTCAACGATTGAACCACACCAGGAATATCGCGAGCATCGTGGCCAAGTTGCTGAGCGAGTAGTTGGAGGCCACGTTGAACCGGCTCAGTCCCAGGGACTCCTCGACGGCCGGCGAGCTGCTCCTGGACACTTTGCTGCGGGCGGCGCCCTCTATGTGGTTGCCGTCCAGTTCGATGAGCGGGGTACCGCCGGGCCAGCCTTCCGTGCTGTACCTTCGATAGTTGCACTGGTCGATCACGTTTTTCACGTACGGTTTCGACACGTTCGGATAATGGGAATCCTTATCCGTGTCCTGCAAAGAAAATATCAGGATGGATATTATGCATTAGAGGATTATAGGAAGGCTTAAAGCCGCTCTATGTGAGCTTGTAGTTACTTTACTGAAGGTGATATTAAATTTAAACAGTTTGAAATTGATTGAAAATTTATGAGTGAATCTAAAGTGAATATTTGATCAGGTTTAACGATTTTAGCAAACAAAAAATTCAAATTTCAGCAGGAATGTGGCAATATAAATATTCAGTACACATATTTGAAACGTCACAATTAATGGAACGTCGTCAACTCCATGAAATATTTTTTTTTTTTTGGTAAAAATGCATCCATTTCGGTAATTTACGCATCATATTTCACATTTGAAAACATTTAGCGAAGGTATAAACTTGTTGGGGTATATTGAAATTGCGCGCTTTATATGCATGACAATGCTTACCGGCAACAAAGTAGATTGCGATGTCCAACACAAGGGTTTGAAGGACCCCTTCATCGTGGCATCTTGAAAACTTTGAAATTGATTGTCCCAATCGTAGGATACTAATCTAGTTTCCAAAGTCATTCCGGCCAGTTCCGGTGGAGCTGTTATCCGCACAGGGTTCGTACCACTGAAACAAAAAGAAAAAACTATAAACTCCATGCAAAATTTAATTAAAATCTCTAATTTCGGAATAACACTTCTTAGCATGTTTAGCATTAAATTTCAAACGATGTTTCGTTCTTATTGATATCTATTATTTCCATTAGAATCTAGTTTTACGTTGCACCTTTAAAAGGTATTTAACCGTGTAGAATTCCCGTCTTTTCGCACGATTATGTCAGAATTTACGGGACAAATCCGACGTACATTAGTTCGTACGAACCGTAATCGTAGCCGTTGTAAATGGTAGTGTTCGCCGTTAACTCCTCCGACGGAATCTAAAACTTCATAAAATATTCCCGACTGGTTTTGTAAACTTTTATTGCACCACCGTTTGCAGTTTTCTTTTGTCGAGGCGAAATGAACCGACGCTTTCTATTGTCATTTCTCGCGGAAATTAAAACCATCCGAAATGTCCGCGGGGGATAGTCAGTCGATAAGGAAGAACGTCTGAAATTAACATTAAAAACGAAAAAGGCTCCGCGCCATTTTTGAATAAGTAGCTTCATTTCGGATTATTTTGTATGTCTTCTCTTTTAGAATACTTTCAGGGAAATATGATAAAATCTTGCTTTGTAAAAATGTCGACGAACAAAAAGAAATTTACAATAGATTTTTTTAGTAGTATCACTGACAATCTATTTTGTTAATATATAGTTTATAATTTGAATACTTACGGACTAAGTTCCTGGATACCCAACGAATGCAGAACAGTGGGCAAACTTGGCAAACTGTGGCAAGCCGCTAGCGCCTTCTGCCTGGGATAGTACAATCCCATGACCAAGCAGGTTTCCTCGCGGCTGTTCAATCCACCCAACGTGATGGCGGTCCTGCCGGAACTGTTATACGTGCACTGCGTTATTAAATGGTCACCGGGAAGAATTCGCACGGGCACATTCAACTTTCTATACTCCTGGTAATCGGAGTCGATGTTGTCGTCGCTCGCGATCGGCGGTAATTCGAGGGAGCCGCGGATGTGTTTGAGGGCCACTTGTTTACCGATTTTATGAGTCTTCATCACTACCGCGAACATGTTGACACCGCCGTGCGGGAAAGCCTGCTTGGTGCAAGCGGAAACGCAGTGACCCGAAGAGATCACCTTGTTTTGACCGGGCGGTATGATGTGCCGCCAGTTCGGATCCATGCCGATGGAAATCACCCCAGCGTCGTGTCTCCTCAATTCCGGCGTGTAGTACAACCGCAAGCCGGACCCGTCCAAGTTCGCGACGCTTCCGTCCAAAGGAGTCTGATAGTGCGTCTCCAAGAGATAGTACTTGGCGTTTTGGGAGTCCAAGGGATAGCCCGCCTCCGGGGGGAAACTGAAACCTTCGGAGCCGCGCGCCCAGCTCGCCACCACTGTGTTGCAGGAAAACGGCTGCGAATGGCTGTCGTAACACTGACGACCCGGAGTCTCCGCTAGTTTTTCTATGTTACTGTTATCTTGGCATTCGTACAACACAACTTGTTGGAGACCGCTCGCGCCGTTGATGCCTTGCAGCGGTTCGTACTGAAACAATATTAACAGTTATCAACATATGAATGACAGTGTATTTCCATAAGAGTTTGGTAAAAAATATAGGTAAAATACGTAGAAATAGAGAGAGAATAAATAAATGGAGAAAATTAAGAACAAAAAGAAAGAAATAAATATTTATGAAATTGAGCAGTATTTGTCTTTAAAATAAGGAAGTTCATTTACTACATTTCTTTGACATTACTATTTATAAAGACAAAGATTTCTTTAGCATTTTAAACCATCAGTATTCTATAAACGATGCATATTTCTCTTCTAATGTTCGAAGAAAGAATGTAATAAAAGCAATAAAATACAGTCTGCTTTGTATTCGTCGCACGAATCAGCATACCGATGGATTTAAGTATTTTCGGAATCCTTTTACCGATTTAACCAGTTTTGTTATAGTTTTCATTATTGGCGGGACCGGCTTGTTGCAATTCCGTGCAACAACGCCAGAGACGACGGCAGCACGAACGTCAAACTAATTTCAATTTCCTTTCCTGAATGCGTACAAGCACCATGAATAGAAGACTGCCTAATGTAACTTTCTATCGGATTTAAATTCTCGGGGGATCTCTCTCGAACATTTCCACGTATATATCTGTAGGTCGAATCTCCCAAGATATGACATGTAAATTGCTTAGTTTTGAACCCGATTCACGGATTCCGTAAATGGCGTTATGCGTCGAAGGGTAGCCAGAGCAGGCGGGGAATCTCCGGATACGCGACGTTTTCGGGCGGCTTTGTTATTTAAATTTTAAATTATATCGTAATTGTATTTTCTCTTTGATTTCTCATCCCTTCCCGAAGGTTAAATGACGGAAAAAGTTGCAAATTATCGACGTTTTCATCTCGATTTTTAATTCCTTTTGATGTGGCTGAATTATTCAACAGCCGATATAACAATGCTCAATAATCTCGAAAACAGGTAGGAACTTAATTTTTATTAGTAATTGAATGTTTTCTATAATGAGTGAATATCTTTTGGATTTATGTTCAACGCCGGTAATCTATGTTTTATAACTTAATTAAACTGTAAAATGAGACTAGCTGCAGATATTATAGTACACACTTAAAGTTAGCATCTATAGCTATTTGAAAATCGTTGAAATATTAACTTAATACCTTCATCCTTCAAATAACTGATAAATCCCTTTTAATTTGCAATTTAATTTCAACGTATCTAACAAGATTATAACCTAACCAGCGGTGTCTGTTATGCTTCGTAACTACAAGAAAATAATTTTCATAACTTTGCCAGACATTACGATGATCATTCAGAAAACTTCCAACCTCTTTCATGACAACTAAAACTCAGCGTCAAGCTGTAAATGCTGGCTTAATTTAACACAATGAACTTCCGTGTGCTCTAGCTCCTCCAACTTGCGAGTTGTATTTGGCAATAAAAGTAAACTAGACTTACTCTAATTAAGTGATGCTTCCTGGTTATCGACGGTATTTGAAATATTCTACACCAGTAAACGTATTCTCCTGGCGGCGGCGGTTCGATGGCGGGATTTCTCAGTTCCCAAACTCTAGCAGTTTCCTCAGGTGCCGGCGATTCTTGGTCGGCTCTTTGGACCAAATACAACGACTGGCTGCCCCTGTTTGCCATTTCGTGTTGAGGCAGCGAATTGTGGCTGACGGCGCCGCCGACGGGCTCGTCCTTGTGGAAGGCCCAAATAATGCGCATTGTGTCGTTCTGAAACAATAAAATATAACATTAAATGTTTGATAATTATATTAATCTACTTTAACTATAACATACTTGTTAAATTTGATAAACTGGTGTGTTTCATTAATTTCTAAAATTAAACGGATAATTGCTATAGACAGGTCGATAAAATTTTAACGAAGTTTGTGAATAGTAACTACTCATTTCTGTAATTATTCAGGTTGAGTGCGATAATTGACGGCGGAACGAAAGGATAAGGAAGTGTTGTTTAAAAATTCGTAATCTAATTCGATCCCTGACCTGGATAAAGGGGACGTCGGCGTCGAGACGCGTGGAAGATATCCCAAGAAACGGGTTCCATGTAAACGTTTCCTGTAAATTGCCGTAATTCATGTCTATTATGCTATTGTCAACGTCAGCTATACAACTATTAAACTTTAAGGATTCCTTTCATTATTCAAAGGAGTTCGAAACAAAGATGGAATCGGTTTTAAGTGTAGTTTAAATATTTATTGAAGTTTGATTTTTCTAAATATAGCAAACAAAGGAAGTGTTTCGTGGCAAATAATAAAGAATGTAAAAATCTGATTATTTTATAAGTTCTAGTAAGTATACACCTACAGATTATTAGGTACATAATTATTTATAGACTGTAACAAAAGAATGCAATAAATTTAACAACTTTAATAACCACTAGCGTGTAACCCTTTGAAACTTTCAATAAAAGTTTGTTTATTAGCAACTTCGAACTACGTAACTAAAAAAAGGAGCATTCGCGTAGGATGCAATCCGTGAGGAAGATACTGGAACGGAAAATTATAAAAGCGTTTAGAATATTTTCCGTTGGACCACAGTCACGTTGATTAATAACTGTTTTCAAAACTTTTCGCAAGAAATTCCTAATTTGAAGTTTGTTAGTTTTCGAACGGATATTGAAAACTCCCCAACATCAAAAAGCTGTTACGAAGTTTTTACTAACGATAGTGGTTCCCATTTTATGCCTGTGAACAAATCCTAAATAAATTGTTTTCCAACTTACAGATCGATAAAGAACATCCAATTTGATTATCAGCAAATCAAAGGTGTTTTCGACTGAATAATTGATCCCTTCACTTATTTGCCTGAATAATTTATTAAATTATGTCAAACAACTATAATTCCTCAACCGTTATCGGATAACTGATTACTGATTGAATTATTTTTTAATCAAACAAAAAATGTAGTCATTCGGGGATTTTATAGCAGGAATTTGCTGTTTCAAAATTTCTGTTTAAGAATGTGGAACTGGATTTTAAATCTATACCACTTACCACTTTTGAAACTCTTTCTACCCTTAAATTTTTAAATTCTAAATTTTATTCGTTTATCTCGTATCGAATGCATCATTTAATTTTCCGGATTAAATCGTTTAAATTTTTTTCCGGGTCGATTTTTCTGTTCCCACAATATCGAATTAGATGCGATCGAAATGTGCTTTACTTTAAAATTGTATAAAATTTGTATTGTAAAAAAAAGCCGTTAAAAATCGGTTCTCATAGTCATAGATCACAGTAAATTCCCAGGATGTTTTTTTTGATAAAGAATTAACCACGAATTGGATTTTTATACTAAACGAACAACAGAAAACAAAAATTACCACTAACATCGTAATTTGCACAAAAATAATGTTAATTTAATTAACCAATAGATAATTTAACCTCTCATTTTTAATGCTTTACATTCTTTGGTTGTCTTTGGCTGATATTTTTGGCTGAGCTGGTCAAAACTTGATGTAATTTATATTAAAATCCATAGATACCCAAATCTATTACGCTCATTAAAACAACTTCCATGAACAGCGTGCTCATAAAATATAGAACAATCAAAATTTAATTAACTTGCGCACATACTACACAGCACAATACGGCTAAAATTAACAAAGTTAATTAGAATAATAAGCTTATTCCGTACAATGAGGATAGAACGGTAAAACAATGCATCCAGTCTCATATTACGCCCGACAAAAAAAATTTTTCCTACATAATTTCGCATGCTTCTCAGTTGCTGAATGCCGCAAAAAATCACTACTTGTTAGATCTTTTCGAGCAGTGTCAAATAAAACGGCGAAGTCATCGTAGAAGTTTTCTTTACAATTCGGAAATTATTCAGATCGAACCCGATAATACGTCTCTATTTTGCTAATAGCCCGTCGCGTTTATTTGAGCAGCTTTTTAGATAATTTCGGGTTGTCTAAAATGAGAAACGGATGATTTATTTCTGGGAAAGGACCGATGATCAGCTGTTGAAAGGGCGTTACTTCGGGTCGTTATAGATTTTTAACATCGTCATTTTCCACATTATTCTATTAGTAGATGCGAATATACGATAAAATTTGTAGCATTATATCTTATCAAGATAGAGAAACCGATGATAAATGAACTGACGTTTTTATTGCAAAAAAATATTTTACTATAAAAATAAGTCTAGTAACTTACAATAGAATAAAAGGGATTACAATTTCGTATATTTCCTGCCTATTTTCATCTTTCGCTCTAAGTAAATGTAAAAATTAAATTTCGAATTGAAACACAAAGTACCAATCAACGTGGTAAATTCGATGGATTATTTTGCTGTCGATATACGTAGGGGGATAAGTTGATTCACCGACATCCTACTTTATATTCCTGTGTATCGATCTGGCATGAACAATGTAATACAAACAAACAAAGCATTGTCAAAACAAAACATAATCTTTCATAAATCGAGACCGTCGCGTATATGCGAGCTCTTCATTTTGTTAAAGTCACACGATAACGCCGAAGAAGGAGAGAGAGAAGGCGAAGGGAAGACTTGTAGACCAAACAATCAAATGAAATTCAAGATCCACGAAGCGAGTCATTGTTTATATTTCTATCCGTTAAAAGACTCTTAAAGTGTCAACAAGATTGATACAAAGAAAACAGCCACTGATGGTTCTCACTGTTTTTATTCAACCGTATGTAAAGCGAGCTTTAAATCTCAAAACAATGCAATGATCCTTTTAGAAAACTATAATCAGATTAAAAGTTGAGGTTTTCAACTTCGATTCCATTCGGAATCCTATTTACATAAGTGGATCCGTTATTTATGTCAACGCGAGGAAGCCACGGTCACTTTTCTCGCTTGGAAAAAACTTAACAAAGTTATCTCGATATTTATGTCGGAATAAGTTATTCGAAATTGACGATATTTACTATAGGAAAAATAAATCCAACCGGCTAATTAATTAGTTGATATTTTCGTGTGTGGTCGTGATACGTTTGAAACAAATCTCGTTGAATTTTAAATTAATGAATCAAAGAAAAGAAGAAAAATATTCAGTAGTAACGAACAAAGGATATTTTAGAATACTGTGTATGGGAAAAAGCGATTTTCAGTATATCTACTTACACAGGGTGATTGCTATGACGATAAACATTCTTTGTATTCGTCGAAATTGCTTGTCAAAAACTAACTCCACAATCAGGATTTTAATTGAAACGTAAAAAAACAATGGGAATGAATAATTACTCGGGCGGACGCGATAAATACAAAATTTGATGCTCCTTTCGAGGCGTTTACAACCCCGAAAAACGAGACGCGGTCGATGAATATTTTGTAACGAATTAACTAATGAACCGTCTCATAAATCATCTCCGCGTGATAAAGTATCCGCGTTCGTTTTCTTTTTAACGTCTCTAAATTAACTTGCCATTTTTAGTTTATAATTAAAAAGTTCCAGGTAGACGAATTTTACTTTATGCTTTTCGCCGGAAGGTGCACTGTTTGATTTGTTGAAGGCTTTTGTAGGTGGTTGATTTACGTTCACGTAGGTATAGAAAAATAGCGAGCTGTAGATTTATCGCCGGGTGTCTTATTCGAATTCTTTTTAAAAACGGTGGTTCTGACAAATTTTAATTAATAGGAATTGTTCCAAGTTATTTAATTATAAGGAAACAAAAAAAAGTTCATGATGTAATACGAAGTAACTCTCTGATTAAGGATAAATTGGCATCGATTTCTCCGCGTCTTCGAAACAATCAAACCCGGCTCGTTCTCGTTTAACCGTCACACCGAACTTGTTTTCCTGGACGGACGCGATCGACGAAGGCCATCGATCATACGAAATCATCAATAACTGAACAGGAAGCCGACCGGCGTTCGAGACCGGGAAGCTGTTAAAGTCCCTAAGAAATTCCTCAAATATTTGTTCAGTATTTCGAACCCGTAACGTAATTCTCGCTCACGTCTCGTTTGACGGGTCTGCTCGCTCCGTCTGTCTCTTTTCTATTGCGAGCAAACAAATATAATTAGCTGCCGGCGTTGTTACCGACGCCGAGCGGCGCCTATCAAAACGGGCAGTTTTTTTATTGGTATAAGTTAGAGATACAGCGTAACGTAATCCTATAACGTTTGTTTAACGAATTTGGGAATTTGGAAATGTTTAGAGATTCCTTTGAAATTGTTATAGATTCAATGCGAGGTGAGGTAAACTATAATAAAATATTTATGCCTTAAGAAAATAGAGAGGACGATTCTTGTATTCTTGTTGCCATAAAGCACGAATTTAAAGCATCAGCTGCATGATGTGAAAGGAAATTTATCTAAGATGAAACGTGGATTGCCGCACAAGAAGAGAGCATTATGCGCCTTTTAGTTTAGAAACATAAAATTCATCAAACCCTAGCCGATTCCATTTATAACAAATAAGATAGCACTATCACCGTAAATCATATCGCGTCCTTTCCGAGTGCACAACTCAACGTCCCCGTGTCCGTATCGTTCATTTTTGTTTTCGTCATATGTGATTTTCTTCAAACCCCAAACAAGACGCGAAAACGAGTCCGAACAAAGCTGCAATACTCGTTCGCCTTGCATTGTTGTCCCAGATAACGTAATAGCGTGAAAATGTAATAGTGACGGCGCGTCATTGAGATTGTCGCGTAATACAAAGGGTGTGATGCTACTGGAGATTATTTTCGAAAGCGAGTAATGGGAGTGAGTATGCCGAATTGGGAGGGTCCGTAATAAGGCTGGTTGTTTATGATGGTAAATTGTTTATTACTTTTTTTAACAATGCGTGTACGCTACAAGAGTAGCTTAATTGGAGGTAGGGTAAAGGAGAAATTGTCTAAAAAGGAGCGAGATTTGGTAGTGTTCGAAAATATACAGCAAACATGTAGGTATACAAGAATAATTTCAGTGCTACGTGCTACATTAATAAAAATTGTATTTACCAGTACATTAAACATAATTTTAGAAGCATTACGTTCAGTTGTGTTTGTTTATATTCGGTGTATCTGAATTATACTGTTTATTTGTATTGAACCAATTTCGGTAGCTTTATTTGATTTCTACTACTTTACGTATGTATTATAGGTAGGTACATAGAAATCGTGTTATTATAAACCTTATTTGTTATGTTCATTTTATATGTAGATTACAAAGCGTTAGTGTAAATTTATAATCATGGAATATAAACGAAAAATATTAAAATTATTTGACTACGAGAAATTGCAATATAACTAAGTACATAAAAGGAAAACAAAAAATATGAGGTCATTGAGTAGAAATTTATTTCTCCTATATGAATTAACTGCGAATGTGGGAACTCTTCCTCATGTTACGTGATATTTGCATGTCACTATATAATTCTTATACAAATTAACGTTACCTACTGAATGTATATGCAATTGAGGATGTTGATGACGGAGTTGGTTCGTTTTTCTACGATCCAGCAAGTATAATTGCAACTAAAGGCAGGAAGTATTTTACTTAAATAATAATCTAACATGAATCGACAATTTGTAGGGAATTGAACAGTACGAAGAAATGTGGTAACTGTACCGAAGCACTTACAAGTAAAGTAAAAAATAAACCGTGGATCTATTACATCAAATACACTGAGGAAAAAACTGTATTTTCTATTAGTAAATATTGCTTTGGAAGATATTTATTCATATTGAAACTCGTAGTGTATTCCATAATATAACTTACTAAATATGATAACAAGAAAAAATCTTGTTTAATAATAAATATATGTGTTGATTGTTGAATAATCTATTATAAACTACAAGTTAGATGATTTGCAATAAAACTATTTGGGTAATATATACTCAATCGTTACTAATAAAGGTGAAAAATTTTTAAATACATGATTGACATATTAAAAATATAAACATATGTTGTATTAAATATATTGTAATTCTGATAAGTAATTAATTAATTTAATATAAATTTATTATATTTAAAATTATCAATATTATAGAGAATAATAAATAATATTTATTGATTAATATCTAATATATGGACGTAGTCCGCCTAATTTCGCTGGCTTTGTTGGCTATTGTTCTATTTCATTATGATGGATGCTGTACCGTACGCCACGCCGTACTAACCGTACCGTTTCCCAAAATTCCTGCAACCATCAGGCTGGTCGCCGGTAGTAACAGTTTTGTAGTGCAAGAATTTTGCTTGTATTTAATTGTTTGTTTCATAATTGTGTAAAAGTGCTTCTATAAAGGATACTACTATGCAGGTTAGTATAGGTTAGAATTTGTTCTGATTGCATTATTTAATCACAACAACAAAAATTACAGGAACCGGAGCTCATGAGAGACTGAAAAACAAATTTGTGGAGGATTTAGGATTGGAAAGTTCAATTCCTTTATTTGTAAGTAAACATTAATCCTTAGCTTTTTTTATTTTTGTAACGGTTTTTATTTCATTGCAGTTAATTCAATCAAGAACATGGCAGAATTGGAGTTGCATGCTAGTTCACGACGAACAGTATTTCGAAGAAATTTGTCCAATCAAAGGAGAAAAATTTTGTCTTCTTGACCGAAGGAGAAATAATTAATTTGTAAGGTATTGCGTTTTTTCCTATTCTGAAATAAGTTTTCTTTTGGTTTTTGTTTAGGAAGACTGCATCTACTAGTTCTGATGCATCTACTTCACAAGACTTTCGACCCTTACCGTTCTCGACCCTTATTTTTGTTCTATTGTTCTTGTTAATGTACCTCGATTAATAACTTAAGTGCAATAAATATTTTCAAATACCTTTATTAAGCATTTTTCATTTGGAACCATTCTTATTTTCCCGTTTTATTTACAGGATGACTTGTATTTCTACTTTTATATTTTTGGGATAGTTTTCAGTAAAATCAGTTAAAACCGAAATTAGAACTGATTTTACTGAAAACTAACCTAAATATAAAAGTAGCAATACAAGTCATCCTGTATAAATGAACCTAATATAATTATTAGGTAAATACAATTGAGAGTTGATTAAAAATAAATTCAGGTTGGTTTTATAATAAATATTAGTGTATTTATTATTAATCTATCGAGTTCATAAAAAAACCTAGAAAAGTTTGTTAATAACCTGGTGTAGTTGTGTTGATATCACTAATAGTGGCAATAAATATATAAGTATTTTTATTTTTAATCAACATTTTATTTTAAGGAATACATCGTATATTACTAATTTAATAGTCAATTATTGGTTATATCCTAATAAAAATTGGTTATGTCGGATTCTGATTCTCTCATAGCTTAATTCTTAACCACATTGGTTACATATAACTCAACCTTTTTCTCAGTGTACAAATGGTAAAAATGCATAAAATATTTCCTAATTATTTAAGAAGAAACAAAATGGTTTCAGCTTGAAAACCATTTTCATTATTTTCAATTGCTTCTTCTGTAAAACAAAATCATTCAATATTGAACCTGTCAAGATTTTTTTCGAGGATTTTCCGTAAGACCGAACCGCACACATCCGACTCGGAATAGATTATTTCGTTTCTTTTTTGGAATTCCGTCGACACTTGTCATTTTTTCCAGACAAAAAAACCGGAACCGAAGTATATCACGTATTTGCTACATCGCGAAAATACTAAAAATACACACAAGAGAAAACCATCTATGAATCGTGCCTTTTTCTTAACGAGTTTATCGAACGACTCTGAAAACTTCGCCCGGTCGGGGCTGGCTGCAAGACTTTCCAGAGTTTTCCCAACATTTCTACTTTAAACAGACGATGGAGGAAAAAAGAAAGGAATTGTTATGACTCGGAACTGAGAAAAATGGTAACGAGTTCGCGGAGCGTATACAGTTATTCTGGTTTTAGCTTGTAAAGGCCTTCAGAGAACCGTAATGCTTCATGTTAGTTTATGAAAGAATGAATAATTTAATACAATACCGCTTGTTTGGGACATGATTGATTCGGTACAAGGGATTGCAGAGCATATGGGTATAATTTCGTTTTATTGCCGCGAATATAAAACCATATAAACATACTATACCATACACAATTATAAGATTAATTAAAAATTGTAAAATCTCTATTCAAGCGAAACTTTAAATTGAGGAAGCAAACGCGATGAGGTAAGTAAGGGAAAGGAAGTTGAATAATGCACGAATAGGTATGTATAAAAAATCAAGTTTCTCTTATTGTTAAAGCTTCGGGAAACTTTAATAAAATTCTAACCATCGGGGGAAACTCCGGCGTGTAGACACAAATAACCATTACACAAAAGAAATACCGTTCGACGAACACAAATTGCACTTTAGCCGTTTATTTATTTACCAGTTACACAAAATTCGTATTAGAAGAACAGGCGAAAACCATTTACGAAATATGGATAAAAAAACGAAGGGGTCTCTCGATAACGAAACGATTTCGCCCGCTATGAGTTATTTCGTTCGTGACGTTATTATCATACACGTTGGACACAATGGACGGACCTTGGGTGGTCAAAAACACGGTGTGACTCACGCAGGATGCAGGGGTAGCATGAATAAATGATATCGCCGATTGAAAACGTGTGTGCAACAAACCCTCGGCGGTATTGGATTATCATAAGAGACATTGTGCCACTTTTTTTTTCATTAGTAGATTCGCTTTAGATCATACATTCATATACGTACATAGCGGAGCAGATGGTACTCCCAATCAAAATACTCTGATTTAATTGGTTGTTTTCCTAAACAAGTGCGCTATACCAAGTGAATGATTGACTCTTTGTGAGATTTTAAGAATAAATAATTGATATAGATATACCAGTGAGAATTCAACGCCTTTTGTTCACGTTTTGAATTTGTTAATAAAATTAAAATTAATTCACAAGTTATGTGGACAGATTAGCGTACTTATAACTCTCTTGGGGAATTAATTTACTCTCTTGGTTTTAGTTAATGGGCTTCCTTGGAAACTTATATGACTCTCTTGGTCCAAATTCATAAATTCTCTTACATAAATCTTTTAAATTTAACGAAAATTGTTCATAAAAATTGTTGCTGTTGAAAAAACACTACATTTCTCTCTAATACCTAGAGTACACACGACGCAGTAGTGTTAATAAAATGAAAAAAACTCACCGTAATGGGAACATCATGATGGTCGCATGTGTCCAACCGTCGTCTGAAGCGCAAAACAGTGTGAGTGTTATTCTCGTAGCCCAGCAAAAGTTGATAATCCTGACTCAGATCCACTTCGGGTTCCCTGTCTATAGCCGTTCCGGGTGAATCCTTAACGTGTCGGTCCTGCGGCGAAAAGACGAAAAAGAATTAGAAAAATCGATTTAGAAAGTAGTCCCGCTTTTTAGTCGGCGTTGCTACGAGAAATGCTCTAATAAAAATGTCGTGTAGTGGAAAATTGGATTTTTTTATTTCCATTGGCTGGTTGCAAATCTAGGTATCGAAAAATTCAATAAAATTTAAAACGCATTTGCTGTTTTTGAATGCGAAAAATTTAAACTGATGGAGTGCTTTAAATTTGTTATAAAAATTGACTAGTTTCAGTTCTCTTTTGAAAACTACTTCATATTGATGTTATGTATTTTTGATAAATTATATTACTTTCCAAAGCGTCTTTGTTATGTTGGATAAAAAATGTAATACTCAAACGAGTCTATCTTAAGAAGCAGCTATATGAGAAATAAATATTTTAAAGGTAATAAAGTGCGTATTTAATTATAAAAGAAAACTCAACTTGCTACAATGGCATTAAAAGAAGTCTTATTATTCTTTGTCTTCATATTGTCTTTATAACTCCTGATAATTTATAAGAAAAACAGTAACACAAAAAATAAATTTCACGTTTTGTCTGATCGCTTTTTTTGTCTTAATAAATAATAAGATCTTTCTTATTTAGAAATTTCGACATATCAAGCACATAAAGTTGTTCCTAATGGAAAGTAAATAGCAAACATAATACAAGTACTATGCGACATATAGTTTGGTGCTCTATTTAGGATGCGATTTTTCCTGGAAAAGCTGCTTTACTATCTGCAGTCAAGAAACTCGTATTTGCAGAAAATAAGGTAGAGAGGAGTTTGTTCCTATTAGGTAGTATCGAAAGTTCGTCTGGATGAAATAAAATTGCGGTAGAGAGATAAAAGATAGAATTTAGCTTATTTATTTCTTTGCGTACTGATCAAATTCAAGAGGCCTATACGAGTAGGTAGAGGTTTACCTCAAAGATCGCTCTTTATATAATATGATATATCTGACTCTATACCGAGTATACCAATAAAATGGCAGTTTTTTTTTGAAAAAAAAACACGCAAAAGACATTACTTTTTTTATTATCCTTAAATCAACTTTTTATTGTTAATTAACGCTCGTTTAGCCTTTTTCGTCTTTTCAAGACGAATACTGGCAATAAAATAAAACCAATTTTCGTAAATATTAACACTAATTACATCAATTTCCTTCAACTTTTTTCGCCATGTTGTCAGATTTAATAGCCTCTGGAAATAATCGAATGATAAAGTCATCGGAGGTCGAGTGATCGGTCTCGGATAGCTCGCCGGACTCGTTTTTGTTATTATGTCCTAAATTTATGGCTCTATTAGAGAAAGTTTACGACTATCTGTCTGGCAATCTAACTTTTCATGAAACGACCAATTAAGAACCATATAACAGGACGATTCATTGAAATGATATGTGTGTACTGGTTCTTATGTGACAGTTTCATTGTTAACAAAAAAAGTTTTAATAGCCATCTACTTTTTTCGAGTTTTGCACGAAAATGCCGGGAAGTATAATTTCGTAAAAAGAAAATGAAACTTCTATTAATATTAAATTTTCAGTGGCAAACAAAGAGGTGTAATAACGGTCTAGATGAAAATTTATCGAAAGTATGAATTAATATAATAGGACAGTAATATTCAATATAATTTGTTTTGACTACATGGTAGTTGTCGTTAAATGTATAGCAACCTGAAGGAGAGGTTGACCGGGTAATCTAATCTATTATTTAGTGCATTATCAACGTTGAATAAACGATAACTGTCTACCTGGGAATTTTCTTTGCGAAAATAATTTCCATCCTGGAATTGTACAGCTAGCAAAGAAATTTATTAATATTTTAGAAGTGACAAACAATACCAATGCCGGTAGGATATTCTCACGTTCTTAAAGAATCTTGCCTTTTGCTCATTGTTTAATATTTAATATAATTATCATAAATATGAGAAAACGCAATAACAGATAAAATAAACTTTAGATTAGCCATCAGGTATTTTCCAAAAAATGTATAATATACTCCAATAAAAATGACATTTATGGTAAATTGTAGTTCTTATGGGTTTAATCTTAACTTTAATCATTTGACCCAAGGTTAAAACATTCACATTAACCGCAAAATGTTGCTCCAGCTTATAGATAAAAAAATCTTAAAATATTTACAGGTAAACGGTAATGACCGCATGCAGAAACGATTAGAATAATATTCCAATTGACTTCCACAAACAACTAATATCTTTAGAGTTATTGAATTAACCAACAATTCAATCCGACAGTAATGTCTATTTACATTATGAATACCGAGAAACGGATTACTATTAAGATTCTCGACGATGCCGACGTATTCAGGTAGGTATGGGCTCGGTGATTCTGAGTAACATTTAACATTACATGACTCAGGGCAATTAAATTCTCTAATCCCACACTATCGTGTAAAACATATCGAGAGAATGTCTTTGGTGTATACGGTAAACTTTCTAAAATGATCGGTGTTGCTTCCGTTTGCCGCTCAAAGTACTATTTTTCCAGTATAATCCAGGCAAAATGCATTTAATGCAAAAACCTTATTCCCTACAGAGAGAATTTACAATTAAGGTAAGTACGTAATTTGAAATAATATAAAACAGAACAAGCATTTCGTGAATTAAGCTGCATTTACACTGAACGAATATGTTTATATGCAACTTTAACGTGGCTTGAAATATATATCAGGTATATTTTTACAAATTGTACTATCTAAAACCCAAGAAAATATCGTGTAGAAAAAAAAACACAAAAATATTTAGAGGTAAATTTGGAGTGATAAAGCGGCAACGTTGTTCTGGTCTATTGGCTCTTCTGCAATATACTCTTCGCCTTTTACACGAACACGAAGTATTCAGGCCTGCAACGAGCTCTGTGCCGTTCAAATTAAACGCAGAGAGGTCGATCTAATGCTTTGTGGCATGATTTAGGCCGAGCATGATCTTTCTTTGATGGAATAGTCGGGTAGTGTGAGTCAAGGTAACGCCTTTAGACATTATTAATAGTCGGGCCGTCAGGAAAATGAAGCAAAGCCGACAGAAACGCGGTGGCCGCGAGAAATACTCACATGACTTGTCAAAAAGATTCTAATCTTTCGCTTCGAACAATCTGCTCGACAATTTTCTCGCATTTGAAATATTTTCATGTTTTAAAGCATCATTTTATACCGATCGTGCAATTAAGCACACCAAAAAGTTGGTAAAGATATGGTCGGTTTACAAGAAATTAATTGCAGCTATCAGCGTCTCCCATATGGCGCGGGCGATTTGGAATCTGTTTTTTTCTCCTTTTCCCGGGCCCTTCACAGTTGGCATACTTCTCGCTAAGACGTATTTAAGACCCGGGCTCTTTATTGCTTTTCCCACCGCATCGTTCAAACGGCACGTAACGCGTCGCCCGTAATTCGAGTATGTACGCCTTAAAGGCGACCTACAAAGAGATCGGTTTCAGTTCCTCCAGGACGTTCCCGGTGTCATTAACGAGCGCTAAAGGAGTATCTGGAGCACATGTCACGCCCTTTCGTGGAACATCCCGACTCGCTGAAAATGTAATTAACGAATTTGTAGTGATAACATGCGAAGGATTCCACGACAGCCTGCGAAACTAGGCGGTAGAAAATTGAAAACTAGCAACAGCACGGCACATTGACCTTCATTTATGTACTATCGGGAGCTGTTAAATACCCGCATCCCCTTATGTATGTAAATTTAGTTTTTTTTAGTATTCAGTATGCGTATTATGTTTACTATTAATAGAGAAATTTGATCTAAATTCATCTTTAGGTGTGTAAATTATTATTACTTACCTACATAGGTATATGAAGCAAAGACGTCGTTGATTTAAAAAACCGCCCAACGAATCTCGGCTTTATTTTTATTACTCGCCGAGTACCATAAAGGAATTAAGAAACAAGGAGCTCCTTTACGTAACGAACAATACCTGCTTTATTAGCCCCAAAACCAAAATAAAAAAACGCAATTACCCCAATTCTCCGAGCTCTGTAAAGACATAAAAAGAAAGTTAAGCTTTCTTTTTGTTACTGGCGTTTTTCTCTCTCTGTCTTTTTTTTTGTTTTTCTTTTCGAAAATTGGAAATTTTCCGCAGTTTATGAGGTGAATCGACGAAATTTCCGTGGCAAATTACCGGCGCTCTAAAGGGTCTAGAATCTTTGGTCACGTGTCATAAAATTCGAATGCATTGCCAATTTGCAGTTTCAGGTTCAGGGTTGTTTAGTCAATAATGATTAACTTTTATACTTATATGGTTTTCGACACTCTCTGCACGATTATACACCGATTATGTATTATTTAAAGCCTTGCTATAAGCAATAAAATAAGTTAAGCGCATTATAGCGCCTTAAAAACGAGACTCTTATATGGTCATTCTAGTTTTTCTGGTATGGTAAGCACTTTTTCTTTATGATGGAATGATTACATATAAAAAAACTAAAAAAGTTTGATTTGAATAAATTATGGAGATGAGCGATTTTATCTGCAGTATCCGCGCTTCTATCAATATTTTGCTACTTTATGCTAGTTTAACGATAATTTATGCGAGCTTTTGTAACGAGTGAACTACGAGAGCGTCCAAATTTCTCGTTTAATTTTATGGATGTTGTAAAATTTTACTGTGCACTCTCATTAGCATAAAAATTGCATCATCTACGCCCTACAGTATATTATTTTTTAGTCTCTAATCTATTGACCCTTTTTAAATAATGGTTAATCCAAGCCAGAAATAGTTCGTTAGTGTTACCTTTTTCTCGCTAATAAACATTAATTTAGTTTTAATTTATAGCCGGATTGGAATTTGCATGCAACACGACAATTACGTGCAAATAACAAAAAAAAATCCTAATGACATTTTAATGCGCGAATCAGAGCGAACACTGTACTTACGTTCTATGTTTAGACGACTCTATTGATGAAAAATAATCGTAAGCATGATAAAAATCTAGCTTTGCCTGTGAATCCGATTTCGTTCATGCGAAT